ATCAATGATGAAAGAATGAAAGAAATATGAATGTAAATTATTGCAATATCAAGATGTGTTGTTGAGTGAAAAGGGAAAGACTGAAAAAGGATAGAGGTAAAGAAAAAAGAAAAGAAATATATTATGAACCATGGAAATTTATCTTGAATTTTATCCCAAAATTGTATGTGTGATGTAAATTTAAAATTAGTGAGATGTGAGTCACACTTATAATGAATATAAAACATTGAGTTTTTCTTTAAAAAAAAATCGAGTATTTTTTTTTCCCTGAGTTTGTAACATTGTTAAACTAATTAAAATGTAAGAAATGAATTGTATTATAAAAAACGTTTAAACCTGCTTCAAAAGTACATGGAAAATAGGTTGTTTAATAAACTTCTTTCAGAGTACAAGGTACCTACGAAATACAAAACAAAAAGTAAGATAAAATGGAATGTTGAGATATTTTGGGCTTCACTTAGAGACAAGGAATGGATGACCAAAATAAATTGGGAGGAGCCATTTAGTGCAGTGCCATGAAAATATATAGAAGATGCCTAGTATATGCATTTTATTCTCAAAAGTTTGCAGGAGCAGAACCCCCCTTCCCTCCACCCCTGTTTATCCCAACTCCTTTATGACCTTCCAACACCTTTTAGTCTCATTGTCATCCATTAGTCCCTCCTTGTTACATTTTTTTTTTCCTCCTCTTGTTTTTTCTTTTTCCTCTCAAAACCCTAGATCAAGGGCTTTTAGGAAGGGGGGAGGGAGAAGGGAGAAGGGAGAATCACAGTGAGGGAGAAAGTTGGTTTGGGGGGTTCACGACGAAATGGGGGACAACAATGGAGGGGATAGGATTAGGGTTTCAAGGCTGGAAAAGGGCACGTTGTGGCAACAAAAAAGAAGAAGAAGACTGCAATAAAATGAGAAGAGGTTGATGAATGAAGAAGAAGAATGCGGTGACGTCGATGAGGAGATGCAAATGGATGATAAAGAAGAAGAAAAGAGAGGATGTGGTGGCAGTGACAGGGAGAGAGCGGAGACGAATGCTTAATTGAAGTAGAAAGTGAATGGAAAGGTGGAGTAGAGAACGACCGACTGGAGCGAGAAGGGGTTATCAAAGCCAGGTTAGGATTTTAGCTTTTTTGTAATTTAATGTAAGGGTATAATACACTAAATTTCTTTTGAAAACATAAGGAAATCAAGGAAATTACAATTTCACCCCTAAAGCATGAATCTTTTCCTACTTTGGTCCTTAAAGAATTTTTTTTTCACTTTGCTCTAACTCCCCAAAAAAGTTGTTTTACTTGAAAGAAATATAGTTTATCCCAATTACAACTTATCATATTATCTACCAAAATGTGATCTAGCAACACTTTAACCTTCTTTCTCGTTACTTTCATCTCATATTTTTTCATTAGTTTAATTGTTTTGTATATTAATTAATAAAATATTATTCGAACAAAATCATGGATTTGAGTTTAGATTTGGTTTTAAGGACCAAAAGTGAGAAGACTTAAGTTTTTTCGGGACCTAAGTAAAAAAAATTAATTGCGACAGAAGGTGGCAATTCGATTAAAGTAGGAAATGACAAATAATTAAGAACCAAAAGTGATACAATATTTTCTCTAAGGTCTAATATGAGAAAAGACCCACACTATAAGTGGTAAAGTATAATTTACACTATGTATTATTTTATCGGGCAAATTACACTGGTAGTCCCTATATTTATCCCTTGTGTCATTTTAGTCCCTACATGTTCAATTGGCTCAATTTTGGTCATTTGTTTCAATTTGATCCAATTAACAATATCGTTAGTGTTTTTTAAGGAAAATTATCACTAAATCAGTTAAGATTAACTAATTGAGTTGAGTAAGTTTATAAATTTGCCCTTAAAAATATAGCACGTGTCACTTATTTGCATATTTTTCATTAACGAAATGCTAAGAGTTGTAATTAATGAGACAAAATTGAGACAAAATCATAAATTTGTGGTCAAAATCGAGCCAATTGAAAATACAAGAACTAAAATAACCCAAGGAGTAAAATATAGGGACTATTGTCGTAATTTACCCTATTTTATTTGAATAGAAATATAAAGAAACATAGTTATTTACTAATAAATTTTTTCTAGGGCACTCGGGTCAAAATTCTAATTTTGAATTTTCATTACTCAAAGTTCCATATGAAAAATTACTTTGTCCATAAGGATATACTTTTGCACAATGACCAAACTACCTTGTATATTTATATATATACTTTTCCATATCAAACTCTCTCAAACCAGCGCTTCTCTCTCTTTCTCTTCAAAGTCTCTTTCTCTCTTCCTCTCCACAACTTCTCTCATCTTCCTCACCACCACTCTACCACCGCCACCTCCGCCACTCCACCACCTCCGTTACCATCTTCGACCTCCGATCTGAGTTCAACTACCACGACTCTCTCTCTCTCTATCTGTCTTTTTCTCCTCAAATCTCTCTCTCATTCGATTCAGATCAAAGATGTTGATTAGGGCATAGATCGTCCTTCGTCAAACTTCGCTCTCAATTGGAACATCTTCTTTTCTTCTTCATCAAATTTTATTTCAATCATTTGCTTTCTCAGATCTAAATCAGCAAATTTGAGATCGAAGAGAAAAAGAGCAAATGATATGAGATTTAACCTTTCCCCTATTCTTCACCCCCTCGAATCTCACCTCTCTCTCTAACCGCCCTTTCCAATCTTCAATGGAATACTCTAAGTCTTAAGTCTCAATCTTTGAGCTCTCTTCACGAAGAATAAAGTCATATGATTCAGTAGGTACAAACTCATATCTCCAGTGAAAAGTGGCGTCGCGCAATCATCTCTATAAACTAAGCACGAAGTTAGCTCGCTTGGCTTGAACAACGGTGGTGCATAATCAGGGCAACTGCGGAAAAGCGCAACGAGAGGAAGAAGATGACCAAAGGTGGTGCTACGGAGGAAGAGAGAGATATCTGTTTGATTACACAATCTGTTGATTATAAATGTTTACGTTTTGGTTGGGGTTGGTGGATGGTTTAACTTTTTATTCCATAAATTGATCTCTTATAGCACTGAAATGGTTGAGAAACACAAACACTACTTGATTCTTCTTTTGAATTGTGAGTTTGAACAGATCTGTTGAATAGTAGATTTTCAACAGATAAAATAACAGATCTATTGAATAGTTGATTTTTAATAGATAAAATAAAAGACGACCAGATCCTTGTGTATGAAATTTGGTCAGATATTTGAATAGATAAGGGAAAAAAATTAAAGAAATACTCAAAAAATTTGAATAGATAATAAATTTGGACAGATAGAATTTTATTTTGACAAATATTTAGGCATTTTTTGGCATCCCTTATATTAGCAATTTTTTTTTATCTTTTTATCTTTTTTGTATTACATCATCTGTATATTTTTTTGCACATATTTTCGTAAAAAGTCAAAAAGTATACTTATTTAGATCATCACAAACACCCTCTCAAACAGATAAGGAAAATTTGAATTGAAAAGATTAAAAAAATAAATAGATAGAGTAAAAACATTGAACAGATAGGAAAAACATTGAACAGATAGGAAAAAAATTTGAATAGATAGGAACAAAATTTGACCAGATAAGAAGATTTTGAACAAATAAGAAATTTTATTGAACAGATAGGAAATTTTTTTGAATAGATAGGCAATGAAAGAACTTATAAAAAAAGTCAACATGAGTGAAATTGAAAATAAAATTTCCTTTAAAACCAATAAAAAGATTCACCACTAAACTATTTTACAAATGGTGGACCTCTCACCAATAAAAAATATTTACTGGATCCAGGGTCGGCCTTAGTCTAAGGCCCCAAAATTTTGGCCCAAAAATAGGGCTCCTAAATTTAGTAAAATGTTATAGGCTTAATATATAAAATAGGGCTTAAAATTTAGTAAAATGTTATAGGCCCCATGTTTTTTATTTTTATTCTTTTAGGAACAAATTTGAAGGCCCCAAAATATTTTATTGGGTCCATGTATGGTTTAGCCCATATTTATTTATAAGTATAGTTTGGTCCATATTTATTAAAATGAAAGGGAAATTTACTATGTAGTCCTATGTAGGGGATCTATTTCCCTTCTAATCCTAATATATTTTTAATAGACTAATAGGTCCACAATTTTTTAAGTTTTGTACCCGGAGGTCCCGTTTTTTATTTTCTTATTTTTTAAATGACTGTATTACCCTTTGTTTTGAGATCTATATATACGGGGAAAATCAAATATTTGCCTCTGCGATCTCGATTTCTCTTCGTTATGGCGATCTCTTTGTGCTGTGTAGTCGATCTCATTGTGCTATGAAGTGGATCTGGTTGTGCAATCTGAATCTCTGTGTATAGGCGATCTCTGCGTACGTTCTCTGTGTGTATGTGTGTGTTTGTGTCTCACTCTGTCTGTATCTGTCGATACATATATATATATGTTTATATAGATAAGCAAATTTGCGTGATATTTGGTTTCAGTTTGGCAATGTTGTTATAGTTTTTTGTTTTGTGATAAATTTTGTTTGTTTGATACTTATTTTGTGATTTTTGTATGTGATATAGTGTAATGATTTTGATTTTGTTGATTTTGTTTGTTGTATAGTGTAATGTGTTTTGAAGTTGTAGTTTGGAATTATGAATTCTGATGTTCTGATACTGATATATTGTAACTGTATAATTTTGCAGTTTGGAATTATGAATTGTGCAGTGTTGGTACTGATATGTTGTAACTGTATAATTTTGCAGTTTGGAATATGTGAATAATTGTTTGTTGGTTTGTGATTTTGTAGTATGGAGGGGTGTTTTATGTTAATGTGCAAATACAATAATTCTTGTGCTGCTATTAAGATTAGTGAGGGATGTAGTTATCATGAAGTTGTTGAGAAAATATCTGCGAAGTTCAAGGAGTTGAGTGTTCGTAACTTTTGTTTGTTTTTCTCTATTCCTGGATATTCTAATTGTATTGTTGAATGTGATGATGATTTGAAGAATATGTTGTCAATGGTAGGTTGTAGTGGTTCTCATGTTGTTGATGTTGTTGTGGGTGATAAGAGAATTGTGGAGGTTGATGATAATTCTTCTAGGATTGATTCTATAATTTGTGAGAGTTCTTTGGTTAACGATTGTGATGATTTTGGTGGTTCGTTGCCTAGTTTTTATCCAGAACCAGAGAGAGTTTTGTTGTCTGCTAGTTGGAAGAGGATTATGCATAGTGTTGGTCAAGAATTTGAAGGTGGAGTGCCGGCGTTTCGCATTGCATTAGCTAAGTATGCAGTTGAGTGTGGTTTTGCAGTGAGTTATTTGAAGAACGATGCAACAAGAGTAACTGCTGAATGTATGATGTAGTCGTCTACGGGTTGTAAATGGTTTGTGAATGGAAGAGTGTTGATGAATTCCGATATTTTTTTTATTATGAAGTTGGATAATGTGCATATTTGTGGGGTTGTTGCTCGTAGATCTTGTAGCAAAATGGTTGGATCTAGACTTGTGTCTGATATTAGTGATAATCCGTTGACTCGTTCTATTGAAGTTAAAAAAAAGTTGAAGAAGTAATATGGTATAGATGTTTCTTATCGGGTTGCATGGTTAGGAGTTGATAAGGCAAGAGGTGGGTTGTTTGGTGATTTTGCAACTTCTTTTGACTAACTTCGATGGTACCTTGAAACGGGTATGAGAACGAATCTGCGAAGTGTGTTTGAATTAGATGTGGATGAAAGTAGTATGTGTTTTCGGAGGTTGTTGTGGCATTTCATGGATGTTTGTATGGCTTTCAATTTTGTCATTCGTTGTTGTTTGTTGATGGTACATTCTTGAAGGGGCGTTACAAGGGACATTTGCTTGCAACAACATCAAAGGATGGTAATCAAGGTATGTATTTATTTGCAATTAGTATAGTTTTGGTTTGTTAGTGTGTTATTGTATTGCGAGTCTGCTAATTTTTGCAGTTTCATGTTATTTTGTTTGCAGGCTTGTTTCCTTTGGCTTTTGTGATTGTTGACGCTGAAAATCAAGATAATTGGATGTGGTTCTTAAGTCAGTTGTTAAAGGTTGTTGGTTCAGGCCGGAGATTGACTTTTGTGTCTGACCGTCAACATGGATTGCTAGACGCTCTTTCAGTGGTTTTTCCCAATGCACATCATGCATATTACTTGAATCATTTGAGGAGAAATTTGATTGACAAATTGGTGGGACTTCGTACTAACTATAAGCTGACTTTGATGAAAATATTAGTTAAATGTGCTTATGCGCCAACTGTTGCTTCTTTCCAACATTATATGGAGAAATTGAGGCGTACTGCTGGAAATGGTAGAGTTGATAGTATGTTGGATGGTTTGCAAAATGATAAGTGGGCCAATGCATTTTTTAGAGGGAAACGATATGGTGAGATGTCATCTAATGCTGCCGAGTCTTACAATAATTGGATTGGTGGGGCTCGTGAGTTGCCTATTACTTGTATGGTTGATATGATTAGGATTCAAATCATGACTCAATTGTCTAATAGAAGAGCTGAATCTAAAAGATGGACTACGAAATTGTGTCCAATTATGGAAAAGAAATTGGTGGACTTTTTGAAGCTAGCTAAGTCTTGGGATGTGATTGTTGCTAGTGATACTGTGGTTGAGGTTTATTCTTCTATTTCTTCTTATGTTGATATTAGTAGATAGACTTGTTCTTGCCATGAATGGCAATTGAATGGTTTTCCTTATTGTCATGTTGTGCATGCTTTGCGTAGTAGTAGTAGAGATGTGTATGATTTAATTGATCTTTTTTTTCATGTAGATTGTTTTAGAGAGTCATACAAGGAATCTATTTATCCAGTGCCTTCAAGTGAGAGATTTGACTTTGATGGTGCCGGTAGTTCGATTATCAAACCTCCTATAACGAAGAAGCAACCTGGGCGGAACAAGAAGAAGAGGATACCTTCTAGGGGTGAGAATGTGAAGCAGATTAAGTGTGGAAGGTGCTTGAAATATGGGAATCACAATAAGAAGACATACAAGGCTGCTATTTGAGGCCATAGTCTATTCTTTTGAATTTGTATTTGAATTTGAGGAATTATGATAATAAAAAATGTGATACTTGGTATTATGGAAGTAATGAACAAAGTTGGTTGCATTGTTTTTTCTTTTTTGATGTGTTCTTTAGTTATTGAAGTTGTTTTGTAACAGTTTTGTTTTGTTTGTTTGTTTGTTTGTTTTTTTTTTTTTTTTTTGGAATTGTTTTGTTTTGTTTTTATTTTTTTTTTTTTTTTTGGATTTTGTTGGTTTTATTTTTATGGAATGCTGAGAAGGTTGTTGAAAATTTCTTATTGAAACTGTATAACATTGAAATGCAGTTTTACTACATGATATATTTATTTCATATTTCGTAGTGACAAAACTATAAATTTTTGCTGTTTTATTTTCAATTTTGAAATGCAGTTCATCTATTTGTTGAGTCATGAAATTGGATGCATAACTGTGTAGCATAATTTTTGTTTTGAGTAATGAAACTGTATAATTTTGCAATTTTAAGAATTATGAAAAACAACCTGATGAAACTACATAATTTTGCAGTTCTAAGAATTATTAGAAACAACCTGATGAAACTGCATATTTTTGTAGTTTGAAGAATTATTAGAAACAACCTTTACTGTATGAAAATATATGCAACCACAAATGTGATGACAATAATAAGCAGAAGAACACAAACAAGTATAATAAGCACAAGAAGAATAACAACAATAATAATAACAAGAAGAAGAAAAACAACAATAATAATAACAAGAAGAAGAACAACAACAACATCAATAACAGTAATCATTTTCACCATAATAACCACAAGAAGATCAATTCTCAAAAGCATATAAAGTACTTGTCACATGTCACATGTTAAAAAATAAAAAAAACAAAAAAAGTACAAAAATATGTTCACTTGAATATTTGTATTGTCAAGAAGTTTGTTCATTGTTTCTATGGATTGGTATGTTTTGTCAACATTTGGTAGTGCTCGAGTTTCCAAGATCGGTTCTTATCATTGAGGAATTGACTGATGATTTCTGCTCGAAATTTGACCCACTCAGTTGGTCGAAGTGATTTTTGCACAAGTTACCAGTTGATATATTGGTTGATAACATTGCAGACGGCGATTGCACAATCATTCTTGCAAAGTTTTAGATGAAGTTAATTAGTTAGGTAAAAATGCAAAATTTAGCATATTGGAACATTAGTTTATTGAGTTTGTATCTTACGAGTGTGGGGTTTGTTGTGGGCATTCCTCAATTGATGCAATTACTGTCTCATACTCTTGAGATGATAACATGTTTCCTTGATTGCTGAATAATGCTTTATTCCATCTCAGTTGATGTTGTTGCTACAAAATAGTTAGTGGGTGTTTTTGTTAGTTATAGTGATGTGTTGAGATGTTTTGAAAGGAAAGGAATTAACTAGGAAATTTTATTTAACTTACAATTTCCTTTGCAATTTCAAAGTGTTTGTTGTGGCAATCTTTTGCTGGCCTCAAAGAGTCATAGTGCCTCCATATCCCATCAGCATTGTCAAAGACCACAATTGTCCAATGGTTGTCGTGGTTGATTGGGAAATGGATATATCTGTTTTTCATTGCTTCTGGAAAATGGTTGTCCATCATTTTTTCTCTCAGTGCTTGATCTTGGTTTTGTAGTGGAGTCTGTAATTCATATATATGTTTGAAATATGTGATAAAACTATGTAGTAAGACATAGTAAGAAAGTAGAAAATTTTGCAGTTTCAATAATATTAAAAGATATGTTAAGTTTTGCTTACATTGATGAGTGTTGAGAAAACGTAAGATCTTCCCGTGTACGGATTTCTTGCAAAGGCTAGATCATGTTTCTCAAATTCTTCAATTGATGATTGGAGTGCAAATTTCATTTCTGAAAAGGCATAAATGACCTGAAACATGTTATATATAAGAATGTGTTAGATTTGTGGAATAGGTTATTGAATATGAACATAAACTATAAAATTGTGCAGTTAGAGACCTACATTCCCATATAAGGCTTCCCTGTTAGTCAATCTGCATATATCTGAAAAGTATATGCAATTTTCATCTTCACTGCCAGACCAGACACAAGTACTTGATTGTGTGTTGTTAATGAGTTGAATTTGGTCTTGGTCTTTTTTGGATAAGCTATGCCAAATCTTGTTTGTTTTGCGACATGAAATGACAAGTGGCTTGTTGTGGATTGATTCTTCCTTGAAATCATCACCATTTTCTAATAATTGAACTTGTGTCTTCTCTTGATTGGCATTCTCTTTTGGGTTGGTTTCAGCAACACCTTATTTCTCTTGGCCAATATCTTCTTACATCTTTTCTTTCGGTTGCTGTTTTGCTTCATGAGCACCCTCTTTTTGCTCGGGTTCAGTAGCAGGTTCTTTCTCTATTTCGATTTCTTCTTTTTTCTTTTCATTCTTTTTCTCTTTTTCTTCATCGGTACCCTCTGTTGGTTTGGGTATATCAGCAGTAGTTTCTGTCTTGTTCCTTGTATCTTCTTTGGCTTTTGTCATTGGTTGGTATTCAAAATCTGGGTTATGTGCTTGTTTTCTTGACTTTTGTTTGATTCTCTTGACCATTGATCTTTGTTGGGGACTGCCATTTTTTTTGGCGAACATTTCCTTTAATTGATCTTCTTTTCTACGCAATTCAACCATGAATTTTTGTTCCATTACTTGCATTTGTGCTCTCATGGCTGCTATGAGTTTGTCCTTGTCGTCCTCCTTGGTTGATGTTTGTGCGTGGTCATGACCTATAAAAATGTTGGATTGTGTTTTGGTGTGTTTAATTAAATTTTGCAGTTTGCTTCAGTATTAGACAAGAGTTTACCTTGTGCATGAAATATGTCATATTTCTCTTGGAGTTCTTCTTGTTGTTCTATCCTTTGTTCTTCTTGTTGTTTTGCTTGTTCTTTTTTTTCATGTTGTTGTTGTTGGTCTGTCAGTTCTTGATCATTGACTTCTTGTTGTTGGTTTGTTTGTTGTTCTTCTTGTTGGCTTTCTTCTTCATCAGTGTCTTCTTGTTGACCACCTTCTTGTTCTTGTTCTTGTTCTTTTTCATCTTCATCGTCCTGTTGTTCATCAGCTTCTTCTTCAATCACTTGTTTTCTTTTTATCATCACTCTCTTCTTCTTGTTCATCACTTTCTGGTTCTTCTAGTAGTTCTTGCTTTCTTTTCTTTTTTTTTTCTTTTTTTTGTTGTTGTTGTTCTTCTTGTTTTGATTCTGATTCTAATTGGTGTTCTTCTTCGAGAAAGTCATCCTCATCATTGTCTAGAAATTTTTTTTTTTTTTTTTTTTGTTGCTTTTGTTTGTTTTTTTCGCTTATTGTCCTTTTGGTGGTCTTGTTTCTTTGCTGAAGATTCTGTTGATGTGCTTTGATTGATATGCAATAACTGTATTTCTTGTTCAGTTGGGGTTAAAGCACTTTGGTCAACCTACATTGGAACAATATGGCATATATCAGTAATACTGTAAAATTGGTTAGTTTCATAACATGAGTTGTACTGTGAGTAATGTGAGTTAAGTGTTGAAAATATATTGTTTGAAACTGAAAACTTTTACAGTTTCATAACATGAGTGATGTTAAATAGATTTGTGCATTTAAACTGTAAACTTTGCAGTTTCATAACATGAGTGATGTTAAATAGGTGTGTGCTTTGAAACTACAAACTTTTACAGTTTCATAATATAATTTGTACAGTGAGTAATGTGAGTTAAATGTTGAATATATGTTGTTTGAAACTGAAGAATTTTACAATTTCATAACATGATTTTTACTATAATGACTGCGAAAGGAGTGTTGAATAGATTTGTGCTATGAGAGTATAGAAGAGTTTGAATACCTTTTCAAAGTTAGCAAGGCTAATGTGTTTCCACTTGGAGTACATTTTGCCAAGGTTCCACTTCATAAACCTTGGGAAGCCTTCTTTGTTGGATGGTCGGAGGAGTTTACTATGCTCACAGTACCAGTACTGTAAAAACAATTTGAAAAATGTTAGATAGTTCGAAATAGGTGGATGTTTGATATTTTTATGTGAAGTAGTTGAGTAGTATGTTTACCAAGAGTAACATGACGCATCCAGTGACATGCCTTGGGTTGTTGTTTGCATTTTCCATGGAATTCATCAGTGTGTCTTTTATTGCCTCAACCCAATTGTATTTCTTGATGTTGATGAGATTGTCAACATAGTTGAGGAAACTCCAACTGAGTGTATGACCTGTTGTAGGCATGAGAAGTTTCAAGCACAAGTAAAGGGTGATGACCCTTGCAAGATCTTGACGATCATTGGTTGATTTTCCTTTTATTGTTTGTTGAAACATTTTGGTTAATGACTTGCCATCCAATCTCTTTACTGATTTGTATCTTCGTTTGTAAAATGCAAGCTCAAAATTCTTTGGTCTTGCATAGGATTTGGTGGTGATGCTGTCTTTTCCACAGTCGATACAAAAAATGAGCCTGACATCACTGTTTCTAAGTTTCATTTCCTTTTTGCCAAGTATAAATGCTCTTTTTCTTTTGTTGTAGAGTGTTGTCATTTCTACTACAATGGAATTGTAGCATCTGCACCAAGAGGCTTTCAGTTGTGTTGAGGAGAGAGCATTTATAATGGGCCAAAAAGAGGTTTTTTCTAACTTTGTCTGTTGGGCTTTTGTGAATTTGACCCCCTTCAACAGTTTGATTACTGTTCCAATGTTGAAACGGTAATTGAACTGTCGGACTCTCTTTGCAGGGACTGCTCCTTTTTTCCCTTTGATGGCTTGGTTTTTGTTTTAGGAGTTAATTGGCTTTCTTGGAGCTTTCTTTTTTTGGTTGGAGGAGCTTGTTGTTTTTTTGTTGGCTTTCTTTTGTTTTTGTTTTGTTTTGTTTTGTTTTTTTTTTTTTTTTGTGGTTGGAGATGTGGTTGGTGTTTGTTGTGTGGGTAAGGTCTGTGATGTAGTTCTTGGGCTTTTTCTTGTAGGTAGTGTGGTTGTTTTGTGGGTTTTTTTGGTTGTTTTTGGTTGTGGTGGTTGGGGTTTTTGTAGAGGGGGAGATTTTGGTGGCATTTCAGTGGATACAGGCGAAAGACTATCAAAAAGGGAGATACTTAAATCCCTAATTGGATTTTAAGGCATATGGGTTTGTTTCTTCCAATATTTTCCAACAGCTAATTATGAAAAAATGAAAGCGACAGTAAGGCATGAGTAATATAGTGACAAAACTGTATAATTTTGCAGTTTTATATGCAGTTTACTATGAAGTTATATCTATTTGTTGTTAATAGTTACAAAACTGTATAATTTGACAGTTGGATTTGCACTTTATAATAAGTTACCTATTTGTTTTGAATAGTGATTAAACTGTGTAATTTTGCAGTTTCATTTGTAGTTTGAATAAATTTAGATATGTTACTTGTAGAGTGATGAAATGAAACTGTTTGATGTTTCAGTTTTTATAAACAGTATAAACAATAAGAACAACCTACAGTATTTTGTAAACAACAACAATAATAACGAGAAGATTAAGTATTCAACGAAATGTAGCAACAATACGAAGAAGAAAAGCGACTACTTAACAACAAGAAGAAGCAAGAACAACAAGAATAAGAACAAGGAGTTGAATGTGTAAAAATAGGGATTTATGTGTAAAAACAGTGGATTAGAATGTTTAAAAACAGGAGACTAGAATGTTTTAAAATAGGAGATTATATATAAAAGAGGGTTTATACATTTTAAAGTATGTAAAATGTGTTTTACAAGGGTTTTTTTATGAAAGTGTTATTGAAACGGTATATACGAAATATGAAAGAATAATGTACAAATTTGAATGAAAAATAATAGGTATAGAGAGATGTTACTTTTTTTTTTTCCATTTCTGTGAATCAGAAGTCAGGAACTATGAAATTTCATCAGAGTGGTGATGGTTCTTCGTGTTGTTGAGAGTCGCCGATTGGAGAAGATGAACGGGTTTGTTTTGTGGTTAGGGTAGGGTTTCAGAGGGAGTAGAGTCGAACGGTAGAGAGATGGAGGACTGAGAATGCAGAGCCGAACGGCGAAGACATGACAGTGTACTGATCAGATTGAGATGATCGTGGGTGAAGGTTGTGCGCGTGTAAATTGGATGATATATTGTGGGTATTTTCGTCTGATTAATAATTTGAGGACTTAATGGAGTATTAAATTTGTTTGGGGGTTAAATAAGGCTTGATATGTTGGGCTTGGACCTTTGGGTCAGTTTCCCAAAATGAAAATATATATTAAAAAAAAAGTGTGTTTGGGCTCAACAAGAACAATACATACAATATATGGGCCCTATTTTTTTTTATACCTTCTTTATCTATTAGATTTTAGTGGAATAAATAATTTTGTCCTAGTTTTTTTACCTAGGTCTTTATCAGTTTTAATTGAATAATTTTTTTCCTAATTTTTTTGTCCTAATTTTGTTATATTAAATTATTTTGTTTATAATTTTAATGATTATATGTGCAAGTAAATTTTTTTGTGACTACAAACAAATAAAAAATTTATAACTTATCGTTTTATTCATATTTTTTTTTATTATAAGAGAGGCCTCCATTTTCAAAATTCGCCTTAGATCCTCTAAATCACAAGGCCGGTCCTGACTGAATCTAATGCCTTAAACACTGTTTAAATTGAATTTATCACCAATTTTTTATTTTTTATTTTTTTTTTGTCTACTGATGCATTGAGAGAGAGTTATGACAAATTGCTATTTAATGAAAAAAAATTCCAATTATTAACTTCACAATTTAGAATTAATCGAGATTTTCACAAGTTAATTCGAACACTAAATTATAAAAAGGAAAAAAATGGAGAAAGTGAAAAAGGGAAATAGACTTATATATGTTTGTCGTTTGATAGCATCGGGGTAGAGAGAGAGAGCAACGATGAGGGCTCTTATTTTTGTCATGTAGATACATGACCTGTCAAGTAGGGGTTGGCATCCCCGGCTGCCCACTAAGTACACTCAATTTAGTTCTAATTTTTTCAAGGTTTGAGATTGGTGTTTTAGACTATAAAGCCGGGTTGAGATGATATTTTAAGAACGTTTATTGTTTTTAGATTGGACATGGGTTTGGAATAAAGGTTTGTAACTCGGTCCCTTAATATTTTATTCGTTTTACTTTCTTATTATTTAATTACATTTAAATAACTCCTTAGTTTATGTATGGGTGAACAAATAACGGCTTAGGTCGGGTTCGGATAGGCCAATACTATATAATAAAAGTATGGTGTCATCCCAAGCTTGGCTTAGCTTAGGGGTGTAATTTTAGCTCATGGTCTGTGGACAGCCCGAAACCCGATCGCGGCGAAAGGTGGGTTCGGCCCGTTAAGGTCCGAGCCCAAGTCCAGCCCGAGGCCTTGGGCTAGGGCCATTGTTTTGAAGCCCGGCCCGATTGGCCCGACCCATTGGCCCGCTCAAGGCCCACCCAAAACCCCGGCCCGAGGCTTGGCCCACCTGGCCCACCCAATGCCCAGTATTATTTTTAATGAAAAATAATAAAATTTTGGTGGAAAAAATAAAAAAAAGCTTAAAAAATTTGTTTAGACCCGCCCAAAACCCGAGCCCAGGCCCGACCCACTAGCTCGGCCAAAGCCTGAATACCCCTAAGCCTGGGCTTGGGCCTGGGCCTAGTTTTCTGGCCCGTGGGCCGGCCCGGCCCGATTTTTTGACGGGAGCCCACAAGGCCCGACATGGGCCCGGCCCAGCCCGAGCCCGGATGGGCTGGGCCAGGCCGGGCCAAAATTACACCCCTAGATCAGCTCAATATTGGACCTAATTTAGTCATTTCAAACCTAATTCTAAAAAAATATCCAAGTCTAAGTCTGTCCACTTAACCCAATAAATATGAACTATTATTATTATTTTTCATCTTAAAGGACTATTAAATTATTTAAACCCTTTTAATAATTTTTCATCTTAAAGGACTATTAAATAATTTAAATTAAAAATATTAATAAAATTTAATTATAAAATAAATATAAATATCCATTTTGAACCCACACCCTTGACATCATTTTGTATGGGGTTTATTATGAATCTCGTCTCAATAATCTGAATTATATCATCCATAAAAAATAAAAATAAAAAATTTCATTTATTTGATAATCATAATTTTGTTTATGAAAAATATTTCATC